TGCCTGGGTGGCTCAGTTGGTTAAGCATCTGCCTTCGGCTCAGGTCATGATCCCAGGGTCCTGGAATTGAGTCCTGTGTCAAGCTCCCTGCTCAAGTGGGGAGTCTGCTTCTCCCTCTCCCTCTGCCCCACCCCCCTCCTCGTGTGCTCTCTCCCTCTCTCTCAAATAAATAAATAAAATCTTTAAAAAAAAGGTGATGAGTCATCTAGAGAAAAACATGTATCAAGATATATGGAAACATATAGTTTATTGCAGAAATGCTTTTTATGACAGAGGCCAAACTGTAGTAATTGTAAAGCTTATAGAATTCTTTTTTTTTTTTTAATATTTATTTAGAGAGAGAGAGTGCAGGGAGGAGGGGCAGAGGGTGAGGGAGAGAGAGTCCCAGGAAGACTCCATGCTGAGCATGGAGCCCGACGCAGGGCTCGATCTTAAAACCCTGAGGTCAGGGCCTGAGCTGAAACCAAGAGTCAGATGCTGAACTGATTGCACCACCCAGGCGCCCCCTAATGTTTATAGAATTTTTAATGGAAAATCAGAGTTACAATATATTATTATTCAATTTTATTAATAATTGATATCATTTATTGATGGAACACTTTGTTGGACACTTTCATATAGCAAACTAATTTAATTCCCCATACAACTTCATGAGGTAGAATTTGTTACTTCAGCTATACATATGAGAAAACTCTGATGTAGAGAGATAAAACAACTCTCCCCCATGGATGAAGCAAGAAAGTGGCAGAGTCAGAATTCAAATCCAGATTTCGGATCCCTGGTCTTCCTCTGTTCTTCGTCCACATTGCTGCATCTAACACTTCAGGTTGTTTATTACAACATTCTGTCTTTTGCTTTATCTAATGTGGTATAAAAGTTTCAGATTTTGAAGTCTTTCCAATAAAAATAGTAAGTGTTCAGCTTTTTAAGATTTATTTATTTGAGAGAGAGAGTGTGAGAGTGCAAATGCGGGGTGGAGGGGAGAAGGGGAGGGACAGCGAGAGAATCTTAAACAGACTCCCAGATGTGCACGGAGCCCCGATGTGGGGCTCCATCTCATGACCCAGAGATCACAACCCTGAGATCATGACCTGAGCTGAAATCAAAAGTCGAATGCTTAACTGACTGTGCCACCCAGGCTCCCCAAAAGTGTTCAGTTTTAAAATAACTTTCATAGGGGCACCTGGGTGGTAAAGTCAGTTAAGTGTCCTACTCTTTATTTCTGCTCAGGTTGTGATCTCAGGGTCATGATCTCCAGGTCAAGAGATCGAGCCCCATGTCGGGCTCCATGACGAGCATGGAGTCTGCTTAAGACTCTTTCTCCCTCGGGTGCCTGGGTGGCTCAGTTGGTTAAGCGACTGCCTTCGGCTCAGGTCATGATCCTGGAGTCCCTGGATCGAGTCCCGCATCGGGCTCCCTGCTCGGCAGGGAGTCTGCTTCTCCCTCTGACCCTCCCCCTTCTCATGTGCTCTCTCTCAAATAAATAAATAAAATCTTTAAAAAAAAAAAAAAGACTCTTTCTCCCTCTCGCTCTGCCCCTTCCCCCCTCTCAAATAAATCAATCTTTTTAAAAATTAAAATAACTTTCATATAGTCTGCAAAGTGATTTCTGAGGGACAATTTTTCAGCTCTTTCTAGAAGAAGGGAGAGAGAGAAGTGACTTGGGAGTTCAGAATGTTAACATCCAGTAACACTCATTCTTTCCTAAGGGCTTCTCTTCAGGGCTGTGAGTCTCAAGTTAAGTTGTTGTAGTGATGGCCAGGTTAAATTCTTCCACTAAAAATATATCTTTAGAATTGTAGGAGTAATCAAGAGCTCTCATTTCCCAAAGTGCTGCTTCTAGCATTTGATAATCCCACATTTATTGGTGCGGTTGACATAATTATTCACGTAGATTTTATTTCACATATGCAGTGTGTGCACCTGTTGTTGGACCAGTTAAAAGTGTTCTTTCCCCTTGGTCTTGGGCCATTTGCTGATACAGTGTGTTATAAATATGACAAGGACAGGAGCAGTTTGTATTACAGGATAATACAACATAATTTGACCGACAAGCTCACTTCCCATTATTCCTGTAGTCTGAGATGCAAGTTAAAACGTCAGTCTATGTTGTAAAGGTCATTAGAAAATATGGCCAGTAATTTTACTTTATTTACAATATGCTCTATGTAAGATACACTGGTAAGAGCTACTGGCTGGTGGGGGGGAGGGTTGGGGGGAGGAGGGATGTGTCTTTCAAAATAATAATAACGTAAAGTTTGAAAATACACTGTCCTCATGTGAAATCACTGCTCTACTTGAGCCAGCTGTAATAGAGAGGAGCATCCTGTGATTACGAAAGAAAAGAATGTGAGAAGGGAATTCTGGCACTGTGCATTTCGCCTGAGTGACACTGATATATTTGGAAGCATCTGTCTTCCCTTGCACCTAGATGCATGTTTGTTTATTTTGGCCTCCTGTAGGCTGCTAGTCCCTCTAAGTCCTGTGTACAGAGGCTCAACCTGTTTTTGACTTCACAGACTCTTTCTTATAAGTTTACTGTGACAAACGATGATATTGGCTGGGAAATCATGTCCCAGTCTGCAATTAAATTTTTGAGTTTAAAAAGTTTCCTTAACAATCAATCAATCAATCATTTCATTATCAATAAAACACAGTATCCTTTAACAAGGGAAAATATCTAATTAATCATGCTTGCCCAAAGTGCCACACAGGGGAGGTATGATTAGCTAGTGTTCTATTCCTTTCTATTAAATCCATCACACACATGTTAAACGCCTATGTTACCATGTGCCAGGCAGAGCTTAGACTCAGAAAGAGTTTTCTGACTCTTTGCTCTTTATATTATTATTTAAAAAACACATATATAGGGGTGCCTGGGTGACTCAGTCAGCTAAGTGTCTAACTCTTGGTTTTGGCTGAGGTCATAATCTCAGGGTCCTGAGATCGCACCTCGAATTGGGCTCCCTGCTTGGTGGGGAGTCTGCTTGAGATTCTCGCCTTCTGCCCCTCTCCCCATTTACGTGTGCACTCTGTCTCTCTCTCAAGTAAATAAATAAATCTTTAAAAAACCCATATATAGGGGCGCCTGGGTGGCTCAGTCAGTTAGGCATCTGCCTTCGGCTTAGGTCATGATCTCAGGGTCCTGGGATCGAGCCCCACGTGAGGCTTTCTGCTCTGCAGGGAGTCTGCTTCTCCCTCTCCCACTCCCTCTGTGTTTTCCCTCTCTCTCTCAAATAAATAAAATCTTAAAAAAAAAAAAACCCACATATGTAGTATTTCCCATATACCAGGCACAGTTCTAAGCCATTCACAGATAGTAACTCTTTAGTCCTCACTGCACCCGTAGGAGGAAGGTATTGTCCAAGGTCACACAAAGAGTGCTGGTGGAACCAGAGGATTCAAAGCCAGCAGTCTCTCCAGAGTTTGTGTTCTCCTGCATGGCACTCTGCTTTGTCTATTCATTTACAGATGGCAATAATTTGTATGCAATGAAAACTAGGATATGGTTCCTGACCTCAGAGGGTTTATAATCGAAATCTGTTTCTTCTTTCTTTCCACCCATATCTTCAAAGATCTTGATAGAGCACTGTGGCTCATTAATTTTGTAGATATCTTCATTTATTAAAGATGTACTATGCGTACATGTGTACTGCCTGTTAAGGAGCTCACATCAGGGAGAGATGCACACTTCCTTTCATAAGTGCTAATGGAAGGGTGTATTTCAATGAAAACTTTCCAAAAGAGGTGATGTTTGATTTGGAGCTAGTCAGATGGACGAACGGAGAGAGAGAAGAAGGAATTTTAGGTAGAAGGCACAGGGGGATGTGTATGAAAGAACAGGGTGGGATCAGGAATGGGAATAATTAAGATTGTGGTATGACCAGAGAAGAAAGACAGGGTTTAAGTTTGAATGGCCTTGTGTTCTTTGATGAAGATTTGGAATAGATTCTATCAGTAATGGGAAGTAATGAAGAAATTTAAGTAGTGAAAAGACATGGTCCATATATTTTAGATCTATAAAGTGGACAGTTTGATTCAGAGGTACCCCTGTAAATTATTTGGATTCCCAGTTTCGTTTTTTTATCTCTTTTCCCTCATCATCCTCCCCCAACTCCTTTGTCTCCTCTCTTTGGCCTCCCAGTTTTTGCTCTAACCCCCATCCGATCTCATCACTCTTGGTAACAAAAAAATGTCTGCTTTATTAAGGTTTAATCTCAAGTTTTCAGGAAAATACCCAATGTCGGCTATTATACCGTATAATGAACTCAAATATCAGCATTCTTTCTACTTGTCAATTGGAAAATTCCTTTTGTTAGTGGAATTTCAAACATCGGTGTGAGAAAGAATTTATTTGGAGGAGCAATAAACTATGGAAGGAAGAACCTGAAATTATGATACTCTTCTTCGCGGACAGGGAGCCACCCTGCCACACTGAGGTGTATTCCAATTTTGCTGCATCATGATTGAGCAGCATTATGTATCTCCAAAGAGCTTGGAGCTTGCTTCTCAGCTCTCCCCATTCCTGAACATGTCCTGCTAGCACAAAATCCATCCTTTCTGAGTCGGTTTCCTCTCTTGTGTTTACCTAAAAAGCACTGTTAGAAGATAATGCATCTGCAAATATTTTATACAAGCACAATGCAGATGAAAGGCATTGGTATTAATTTATATTTTCAGCTAGAGTTGAGCTCTGTATTTCTATGTGATAGTATTCCTCTAGGACCTCTATATTTTAATGGCCTAAAATTTTCATCTCTGTAATAGTGAGAAAAATTCAGATCACCTTCAGTTCTTGCATATGAGGTCGCCTTTGTCCTTGCCAGCCTTTCAGAGAGTCTGTCTTTCATTTCCAGAGAAAAACTGACAGGATAACTTTTTGAATGGCCCTTGATTTGCATTAATGATGTCCTTCAAGGACAGTGTGCTACTTCCTCCTCTTGAATTTTTATGTCTCCTTTCTTTCTTGTTTTTGTTTTGTTTTGTTTTGTTTTCTTTAGATGGAGAAATCAATAGAGACACACTTTGGCAGCCATGACAGAAGGGCCATACTCTACAGGCCTCCTTCCTTCAGCAAAACAGAGCTTCAGCTCCACCAGCACATTCTCACTCAGCATCGCTATATGGTTGTCATCGCTGAAGAAAGGCTCGGTGCTGGCCTTGGGCTGGGGCTGCTAGAAAAAGGTCAGAATAAGAAGTAAATACCCAAGTTGCTTGATATGTAATGTGAAACACTTTCTAGAGTGTGCTACATTCTTTCCCTAAAGAAATTTATAAAAACAAATTTTTACCCATGATCAACTTTCTTGCATCAAAGAAAACTTGGCTCCTTTTTTTTTTTTCTTTTTGGCTTCCTCTCAATTTTTCTTTAGCTATATTTCTTTATTCCTGAAATTATTTTGTTTATATTTTTGTAGCATTTTGGAGTTGCATAGTTCATATTTAAATGCTACATAAAAAATGTTTATGTTTATGAGCCTGAATACATGTTCTGCCCAGCACCAAACTGCTCCATATTTTAAGAAAATTGCCACTTCATCTGACTGCAAGTAGAATGTGCTGGAAATTGTTTCGAGAAGCCAGCTTAAATGTGATTCACAGATTGGCTCTAAAATGCGAAAGAAGTATGGATATTTATCACACAAACTATTACTAGTCAAGTACTTTTATTTCTGTCATTTGAAGTGAGAAATAAAAGACAAGTTTTTAAACAAGGTATTTGAAAAGAAAGTTGAGGAGATGATGAGGGTCAGAAAGGGCAGTAGCAATAACAGCTAACATTTCCCGAGCAGATACACTCCACCTTGCTCTTTCAAGAACTAGCTGATGCCACTGAATGAATGAGGTGAGGGGAACAGTTAGCCACCATTCCCCTTCACCATGTTCACCTTTCGCCGTACTGGCTGTGAAGGTGCAAGCTGCTAAGCTAGCAAAGCTGTTGGAGGATAGGGCCCAAAAAGATACACTTCGATGAAAACAAAGGTTCTAAAAACCTGCCGAGTATGAGCCATGAGGACTGGTCTTCAGGAACACCATTTGCTGGGCCCTGTCCCCTAGGAGTCCTATGGTAATCTAGAGCACTGGGCTTCTGGAAGCAAATGAGAAAAACCAAAGGGCAGGTGAAAGCTCTGGAATATCAAAGAGGGCTGAAAATGAATTTTAGAAACTGCATTGTGCTTGGCTCTATTAAGAAGGACCAATTGAGAGTTCTGGAGCATCCATAAATGGTATTGTCAGAAAAACCATTTATCCATGTTAAGGAAAGATATAAAATGTTGAGTCTCCCTCTCATCCCATAAAGCATCTTAGCCCATCCCTGCAGTAGGTGATTTTGTACCCACCACCTGCATGCTGGGAGCTGTGCACCTGCAGGCGTGCACAGCTCCGGCCGTGATGACACACCGCTGGGTCCAAAACTGCTGTGTTCTTCTGCCTCCCTGAAGCTGCTCCTGACTGTGCAGGGGCACAAGGTGGGTTCTCCGTGCATTTCAACTTCAGTTCAGTTCCAATCTTCAATTCTCTCCAGTTGCAATTCAGAAGGACTATGTCTGATCTCTCCCTTAATGTCCTTGGGTCAGTTTTACGCGGAGGATGACTTTGCATCTTCCAAATATCAAGAAGAGTGCAAAGACAGCCCGAAGGCAATAAACTCTGGCAGCCAAAGCAGCTGCTGGGCCCAGCATAAGATAACGAGATGGGTGTCACCAGACTTTGTCAGTGTAAATGCTGATTTGGCTCACTTACCCCATATTCCCTCAGCTTGTAAAACATCCACTTCCTCATTCTTTCTTGGTTTCTTCGACTCCGTCTAATAAGATATTATTCCTGGATAAGGCCTCAAGAAGGGTAGCAATTTCATGAGTATGCAAAATTGACTTTTGGTTTTTCATCCAATTTTATAGTTTTCACTGTGAGGGCAACCTCAAATACCTGAAATAAAAAAGTTCTGTGACCATAATCTAACATTTCCTTGATTTTCTAACATGTAGGAAAAAAATCACTTTTTTATTGCAGTTTATTTTCCATGGCCACAGATTTAATCTCTAAATTGTGTTTGCATTGAGCACTCACTATAAAAATATTTTCTAAAGGTTTGATTCTTGTCAAATTCGTTTTTCTTTTGTTTCCCATATTCACCTCATGCTTACTTTACCATATGTACGGCAGCAGAAAGTATGATGCTATATTTGCGCATTTAAACTTAATTTCTCCATGGTGAGCATCTTGGGGGAAATGGAAGCAATTCAGAATGATCGGGAGACCTACCCCTCCTGTCTTTAACTTTGCTGTTGCAGCTTCTGCTCTCTGCTAAACTGAAATTTGAAGCTACTACATTAAAAAAAAAAAAAATAGGTACTAACACAAATGTTACTAAGTGCCCAGGAGCAGATTTGAGACATTTATAAAATACATGCTTGGTTGGAGGAAAATAAATACAAAATAATATTTTCCTATTCTACCTATCCATTTTACCTGCTTTTCTCTCCTCTTCTGATCTGACCCCAATCAGTTCTGCTGACCTCTTTCTATGCCATCGTTTGAAGCACTGGCGGCCTCTTTCCAGCCTGGAGCTACTTTTTTTTTTCTTTTTTAAACTTTTAAGGCCAGAAATGGATAAAAATCGAAAAAATAAAAGGGTCATAGCCAGGCAACATTCCACTATTATTAAGGATAATCTGTTTTTGTAGAATAACATTTGGGCTTTATATTTTATTAAGCTTTCCTACTACTTATTTAGTAAACATTCCTTGAAAGGAAAAGTAAACAGTCTCAAGTTCTAAGTTAGAATGTGGGCATTATGGTTTTTTTCCCTGGTTAATTCCATTCTAGTGATATAACAGAAGTCTGTGACTCTATCCCGAAAGACAGTAGGGCTGCGGGTATGCAACTTTAGGCAAGTTAGGTTCTTTGAGCTCTGGTTCTCTTATCTGTTGAAGGCAATAATGATATTGCTTCATGATAGTATGTGGTGAGAATTTAGTCACTTTGTCCACCCCATCAGAGTTCTGGGAGGAGACGACGTAAAGCCCAGCCACTATTTTTTGATTCAATAGTCTGGGAGTGAGGCCCAGAAGTTTATATGTTAAAAACAGACACATATGATTCTGATATATATCCCACTGGGGCACACTATCCTAAGGGATATACTGCTGGTTCAAGACATAGCAATCTCTAGACTTAATTCTGGGAATAAAACAATACAAAAGTCTGCTTGCTATAATGCCATTGTACTACTTAAGTATTAACCGTATAGGTATTTACAAGCATTTAATCTTTAGGCTGATTTTGAAAACAGTAAGAGGACAATTGTCTTTACAGATGTAGGCCTATAAAACTTAGCAGCACGTAAGACATATACTTTATCGTCCTTCAGTCTCCTGCTTTGGAAAAATATATCTTATGTCCCTGCATTTGTAAGAACATATAATTCTCTAAAGGAAAAGAGAGAAGCACCCACCAATCATTGCCCTTCACTACTTAGTAATCAGTGATTTAGTCCATGGAATAGTATAGTAGCCTAAAAGAAAGCAGATGTTTTCCGAAAGATCTTAACCTATTCCCATGGTAACATTCAAGTAGTATGTCGTCCGTGAGACCCTGTCTCAGTAGGTTGTATCATTGGATCAGAGTTATTTCTGTATACTTGAAGAGTAGTGCATATTTATCAGTTTTCTCTTCACTTCTGAATACACCTTGCACTTCTAAATTAAATGTATTATATAGTCCCTGTGAAAAACAAATGCCAACTCGCTACAGAATTGGTCATTCTTATGGTTTCAAATTGCTCTTGTTTTTGTAACGTGGGGGTTTTACATGGAATGTTTTTTTGAAGAAACACAAAAAGTGGAAGACCATATCGATTTTCTCGCCACGGTTTGGCAAATGATGGCCCGCTGGCCAAATGTGGCCTGTTTTTGTCAACAAAGTTTTGTTGGAATGTAGCCACACATTTGTTTCCATACTGTCTTTGGCTGCTTTGTTTTGCCACAGCTGAATTGAGTAGTTGTAACAGAAATGGTATGGCTCTTATGGACTAAACATTTATTGGTCCCTTAACAGAAAAAGTTTGCTGACCCATGTCGCTAGATTAATACTGTGTCATCTGATCCCATCCCAAGCTGATGGTTAAACTCTAGGACTGAGATAGTTTAGTTTTGTAACTTATACCAAACCTCATTCAAAAAGGATTTGATGGTTTACAATAAAACATAAAATAATAACATTACTAAAATGGAAATAGAAAGTTAGGGCTCAGTCAGGATGTTCCTCTTAGTTACCATAATTGAAGCTTAATTTTGGCTTGAGCCTGCAAATACCGAGAGCAACAAGGAAAAGAATGGAAATTTTACTCTCAGAAAGAAGGGAACATGAAGTTCCTACCCCTAACCACCCACATGCCCAAGTAGTATATTTAAAACACGTTTCTTGAAGGGATTATTAAGAAAACAAACCTAAGTTATGTAATGGGTCAGGAGGCAGATGAAGTGGATGTCATATCTTAGTTCATACAGCAACCTTCCAACAGGAGCTGAGAGTATAACATTACAGCATGGTATGACAAAGGCATTTCTAGGAAGGGCTAGAGTTAATATGGTGATAGCATTTATCGATATTTGTATTGATATTAAACTTGATACATTGTGTTCTGGAGAATGCCATTTTAAATAATGTTGCTTCATGGTTTTTTCCCTCCCTAATAAGGACACTGTAATTTATCCAGCTGTGTTCTTGGGAAGCACTATTAAAAGATATAGTTAATAGAGCGAGAGATACAGATCACTACTTAATGTTGTGGAAAATATATTAGAGAAGAAAAAACCTATTTCCTTCCCTGCTTATAATTTAATAGTTTTCTATCCTCCTATATTTTTATTTACATTCACTTTCACTTTCGAAAATGTCCAACACATCCATGTACAATTTGAAATTTAGTTTAATTTTGAAGGTTTATTTATAATGGCTACTTGCCAAAAGCTGTTTCTGGGGTTTGTATGGAAAAGAAGCAACTACTACAGATCAAGCTTAACTCTTGTGATGGAAAGCATATTTCAGGTTTTTTTTTCTTTAGTTTATTTGTATTCAAGAAGAACCTATAAGGAAGTTGAGATTTAAATTACCCATAAGTAAGAAGAGCTTAACCACAGTAATTGCTTTCTTGGGGAGGTAGTAGACTGTGGTAATTA